GTGGACTAATGTTTTCTTAAGATCGATAATCAGTATTATATAGGTTTATTTTGGTTACATTCCTATTTAACGTTTAGTCATAATCTATTTGTACACTTCGTTACGTCCCTTCTATAGTCTAATTTTGTTTTTTCTATATTAAATTTTAATTGATTAAAAAGAATCTGGCAAATTGTAGAAATGCATGCATGCATAGTCCAACAAAACCCAAAAAATTATTCGAAATTTCGAAATTTCCGATAATATTAAAATTTCTTAAAGTGGACGTCCAAAACATATTTTATTCATCATTCTTTTACACTATTGGGTGGTTTTAGATGATGGGTGCATTGTCTATGGTGACTTTTACCGAGACATGGGTTTTATATAGAACCAAAATTAGTGTCAAAATCCGCGCTAATATTAAGAGATAAGGAATCTATTATCAAATACTACTAGTTGTATACTTTATAATTGACGTCATTTTACTCTTTCAAATATTGAGTAGAAAATAGAGAATACAGCGTTGGGCATCAGAACCAATCATCTAGTTATGCTCAAATTCATACGATAGAGACCTCTTTTCGATCCAAAAGCTTTGGGTTTTGAACAAAAAACTGAAACCAATCAAATAAAAGTCAGAGAGAACACAGAGGACGGCACGTGTTCTTGGCTTGGATCACGTGGGAATGAGTGCTCCATGTGCTTCCCTTAACCCCAAAAACCAACTTACTACTATTTCTTGTAAATTCATTGTTTTTTTTTGAAACACCTATTCGTTTTTCTTGATCGGATGGCATTTTTTTGTTTCCTTGTTCGATCAAAAAACTGAAATCAAATTATTCGTTTGGTAACGTTTCAATGATCAAACAAGAAATAGTTTCTAAACAAGAAAACCCCCAAACGAATAACCCCAATATCAAATGACATTTTTCTTGCTTTGTATACGTTAGCGTTTTCATTAGTAGATATTTCTAAACTTAGTTTACTCGATTACGAGCGGTGATTAATATAAATTTTCGTTACAGAATAATAACATATTGCATTCAATGTGTAACGACATATTGCTAAGATTATAAACTCGCTTACGAAGAAGAAAACATTCTCGTTAAGATTGTGTTTTTATATGTTCTATGTGTATTTTTATACAAACATATTGTTGATTAAAATATCAATATACAAGATAATTGATAAGGGAAATTATAAGAAGAGAACATGGAAAAAGAGAGAAATAGGACCATACTCCAGCTCGTAATATGCTTTGCTGAAAAGTTGCGAATAATATAAAGTCAGCAAAAAAAAAAAATGTAACAAAGAAAAGTAACTAAACCACGATTAATTCGAATCCGTGTAGCAAATAGTTGTAATATTAATGAAAAAGTAATTACTGTTTAACTTTAGGTCACGTAGACAAGAATCGATTCAAAGAAGAAATTCTGAAAAAGTTGTAAGATTGTAAAGTGTGCAAATAATTGAAATTTTTGTAAAACAAGATTATTACTCGAGTCACAAAATCTAATACATTAGGCTATTAGCAGTAATATGCATAGAGATATTAGCAGTAAAAGCATGTCTCGAGTTTTTGTTTATTTTTGGTCACATATTATTATCCAAAGTCTCGTTTGTTTTCATTTCCCAAGACCTGAAAAGACGAAAAGAAAACCAAATGATAAGTTCACAAATAGACACAACACATGTAAAACAAAATATACGTACCCAACATTATTGTACAATCTATATATCAAATTGATTGGTCTTCATTGTAGGACATTGTGATCGTTAAATGTCAAACTCTGTCCACATGGGTTTATTTCAACATACATTATTTATTAAAGTCTTCATCTTTCAAAGTTTCAAGAAAAAGCTCAGAGACAGCCATTGCCTTAGACCCACACAGTTGCATAGTCACAGACAATATTGGGTTCACACACTTTAACATCGGATTGAGCTTAGTCTCTATATCCAAAATAAAAATAAAAATCTTGTCGTATACAACATATTATATACAGTTATACACACACTCACATACTTAAATTATACAACTTGGAATCGTAATCACACATTAGATAGATAGAGTTACATTGATCAACTAGTTGATGTATTGAGAAACCCATTTGAATCCTTCGCCGTAACCCATCTTTCTGACAATGCTGCACATGAACACTTCGAGTGGACGGACATTTGTTCCTGCTAGATTCACTTTACCTTTCCCAGTGGTGAAATTGGTTAGGCCTAGATGATAACGAAGCTCGTCTTCTGATGCAGCGTAAGGAATGTCGATTTTGTTTCCAAGAACGAGGAACGGGACATTTGTTAAGGATTCATCAGAGAGTAGCGCGTCAAGCTCTTTCTTTGCTTCTGCAAACCTTTCTTTGTCATATGCATCCACCAGGTAAACCACTGCATCGACCTAATAGGATGAGAGACAAATACTAACGTTACAAACTTGAAGATGGAATTCAAACAAGGAATGTAACAATTTGACACCATTGAGCTCTGAGCTATCAAAATCACATTCACCAGCTATCAGAATGTAATCACATGAGACCTCATGCTGTGATGATAATAACAGGAAGATTCCTATATAGATTTGCTATATCGATCAACCGATCATCCTCCACATACTATTTCGAATTATATATCATTCCGCTCTACAGTTTCAGTCTATCATCTAGAGATTTAAATTCAAATCTACAATTCCAAATCTGTTTCTTTGGGACAGGGAAAAATGTAACGGCTTTTGCAAATATAATCCCTCCGACCAAAAAACTGGTCCGGTCGATAAGCGACAAGAATGCGATTAATGGTTACTGGTTAACACAGAATCTGTGGAAGTACACAGCAAGATCTCACATCAGCTTACTATCTACATATAACCAGAAGAATGTAATCACTGGACCTCATGCCGCAATAACATGAATATTCTTATCGATTTGATACCTACCAAACTTCAAGTTAGAGTTAACCCTCCACATACCAATAATCATTTCAAGCTATTATCTAAGATTTCACTTTCATCTCACTCAAACCATAGTTTCTTAGTCACCGGGAAGATTGTAACAGTTTCACAAACGTAATCTACAGAGTCTATAAACAGA